CATAATAAGACACAACATTGCGAGTATTTTGTTGTTTTTTATTGTATTCCCAAGCAGTTAAATATGCATATATTGCTAACATCATAAAGATTGACATAATTGGGATTAAATTTCCTAAAACTCACTATTATATTTCCTAAAACTCACTATTATATTTTTCTTTTAAGTAATTATATGTCTTTTCACTACTAATTTTCTTTTAATATTAAAATTTTATTTTTTTTTATTTTTTTATTTCAAGGGCCGGGGCATTGCCCGGGGTACTAACTAGTATATGCATAAAACCTGATCCGATCCCACTCGGTCCAAACTAAAAAATTAAAAGACAAATTAGGCGAAAAAGTGCGTCCGACACGAAAACAAAACACAAAGCGTAGCGTACGACATCAACATGTGAATATTTAAGCGGAATAAATAAGCACACATCTTTTCTCTCTCCAAATCCCTACCACAAGCCTCCCACCATTACTCTTCTGGGGAAGTGGATCAAAATCATGGCTCTCGCTTTCTCCCCCAGTACCCACCTTCCTATCCACATAATCAGATAATCTTACCTTTAACTATATATATAAATTTATTATAATAATAATTTTTTAAAATTTTCAAATAAATATTCAACATTTTTTTTATAAATACTTCATAAATTTCTAAAAAAACATTTAATCAATATTTTATGAGTTTTTTTTTTTAAAAAAATACTATACTGCATGTTAAAGGGTAGTTGAAATCTAATGGAAAGGGTGTGAGATTCACATATTAACAAATTACCCCATACCTTAAACTTTAGATGACCTAATTTTAATTTTTGAATGTTTAAATTTAGTTATTTATTTTTTAAAAATATTATTTAATATATTTATTTCTATTTTATTTCTATTTTAAAAAGATAATTATAATACATTTTAAATAAAAAAACTTATTTAACCCGTGCTTAATAAGAGATAAATATAAAATTAAATTAATTAATTATTATATCTTTATTTTATTAGATGAAAAATACTAAGTTTACTAAAATTGAATGGAGTGAATAAAATAAGATGAGAGATTAATTCAATCTATAGTCTATAATTATAGAATATGATTGTGGGAGTCACATATTAATAAATTTAGAAGTACTGGCTATGCCACATAATTGGTCTCATCTTTCTTCCTTTTTATTTGTTACTAATTATAATTAAAAAAAGAATTAAAACTCACTTACACAAAAAAATATATTATATATCACACTTATATAAAATTTTAACAATTCATATATTTGTTTTAAAAAAATATAGAATAACAAATTAATAATTTCTAGATACAAAGTCTTGGAACATTGATATATAGCAGATTAATAATTTTTCAGGTACCAAAAAAACTTGAAATATTTTTTATCACGTACTAAAATTCAACATTGAAAAAGAAATTAAGAAATCTAATTATATCAAAAATACTTTCCATTAACTACTACAATTTAATCTCTAATAGGACTTGGTATCTTTCATCAAGAATTGAATTTTTCTATTCTTCACTACCTATTTACATACATACATACACACATCCTATTCCACCCGTCTTTGTTTTCTTTATTAATCTTGGCTCTTTCATTATTTTTAGCAATTCCTTATTTCTCTTTTATTTTCTTTTTAAGGTTGTAATGTACCATAATTATTTAATCCATTAATAAGTTGATCAAAGGGCAGTCTTATTTTAGGATCGGATAGTATCTTTATAGAAGGTTAAATTCCCATTTTGGTCCCTGAACTATTATACAGACTCTCGATTTGGTCCCTAAACTAAAGAAATCCCTGATTTAGTCCTTAAACTATTGTATAGACCCCCAATTTGGTCCCCACTATTTATAATTTGGCCTAAATTGGTCCTTGAACTATTGTACGAACCCCCAATTTGGTCCTTACTGTTTACAATTTCACTCCAATTTGGTCCCTGAGCTATTATTTAACAGAAAGACAAAGCTGGGGTTAAATTGGTAAACAATAGGGACCAAATTGGGCATCCATACAATAGTTTAGGGACTAACTTGGAAGTCTGTACAATAGTTTAGGGACCAACTCAGGGTCCGTACAATAGTTCAAGGGCCAAATTAGGGATTTCTTTAGTTCAGGGACCAAATCGAGGGTCCGTACAATAGTTCAGGGACCAAAATAGGGGTTTAACCTTTATTAGAATAATGGAACGCAAATGCTCAAGGGAATGATGAGTTAACCACTTCTATTGGTGCAGTGGATATTGATATCAATGTAAGCCTACTTTATACCTCTTTTTCTCCTTTTTGTTAGTTCAATATTTTAATAAAGAAATATGTGAAAAGAAATAATCATAATATATTATAAGATAAAAAAATTATAATAATGTACTAAAACATGATTAAATACAATGGTGATATCCTTATTAACCTTCTAAATGTTAAGTGATATTTGGGTTGTAATAAATATTAAAATATGAGTCTAATTTGACTGCAAAATACTAAATATTAGATGAAAAAGCCTTTCACTCATTGCCAAGGGCTCTTATCATTTATTAGTTTATATTTTATAGTTTGATAAAGTTAAAAACGCAAAATATTTTCTTGTTAAATTATAAATATTATTCCCTTATATATATAGGTAGAGTATAAATATATTAGATGATTGAAATATTAAAAAAGTGTTTTACAATTTAGATTAATTCAAACTGTAAAATAATAATTATCTGATAGGGGCTGAGTTCTTAATATTATGGATCCTCTCTTTATCGAATGATTTTTATTTTATAGTTTAAATCAGTTCAAATTATAAAACATGATTTTATTGAAATATATATACTGTTCATCACTTAAGTAGTTTAATAATAAAAAGTATAAATATATTAGATTATTGTCATATATATATCTTTATTTAATGTAAGATATTTTAAACTTAAATTATATAACATGTAAGTAAAATGTATTATAAAAACATAGTTGTTTCTTTTTATATGTAACTTAAAATTTAAAAATATAATACACATAAATAAAAAATTCCTATATATAGGAATCAAATTTCATAAATTTAAACTCATGAAATTTACAACCTTAATTCCAATTTAAGAGAAACAAAAGAAGAGAAAGAAAAAACAAATAATATCTTTTCATTTCCATTCTATTTCTTTTCTTCGTTTAATTATACTAAGTGTATAGAAGAAATTAAAGGAAAGTCTCTCTTATCCCCTCTCTTTCAAATTTAATTATTTAAATAACAAAAAGAGAATAATATCTAT